GCACTTGGAGAAGCAGCAGCATAAGGGCTCCAAAGATGAGATATCAGGAGATGAAATATCAAAGACACTAAGGAGACACAGTAAAGACAATATTCGCATCTAGGGAGGGGAAATGCCAGCATCAAGCTAGTAGCAAGCACTGTTTTACCATAACCATGTCTATTTGTTTCATTGGTACTGCCCAAGTTATCCCAATAATTTGCAAGGAAGTTTATTCACATTGGGCAATTGGTCATTCTTTTAGTAGAAAAATTTCTCATATCTAGTGGCATTTATATTTATAGCCATTTGTCACAACCATGGGACTCTCCTTACAAATAAAAATCTCCTTCCCAAACACAGGCACCTCTCTATCCACAAAAAGGGTACTGGGATCACCTACTCCTACTTCATTTTAAAAAGCAGAATTCTATGTTATCATATGCTCAATCCAGCACACAGAGGATATTTAAAATAAATGCAGGCATTTGCTTTATATAAATTCACATTTTCTGAAAAGTGTACAGCCATTGAGATCACAGATGTAGACTGCAGTCCACTATTTCTCTATTTCTCTTCTCTGTATATCAGAGTATTACATCTACTGGCTGTAGGTAAGGCATGATAAACATCATCGCCACAGTTTTACTCTCTATACTTCATATTCAGATGATAAAAACAAAATAATACCAATAAAGCTTAAAAGCACATCAAAACTGTATAATATACACTTTTTAGAACTTTTAGACTATTACTGATTGGATTTTTAAGGCTTTAAGTGACTTAGATAGAATTTAACACCTGAACATTTCATGTGAAATCTAGTTAAGGGTAGGGTCAACATTATTGAACACTCGATTTCCCCATGTATCAACAATTCTTCCTACAGTGAAAGCATCTTCATTTAAGTCTAGGTGGGTTACTGAATTGAATGATAGTAGTAGTAATAATGGTAACTATTAATAGTAGCTAATACTTACTGAACACATCCTATGTGCCGGGTACTATTCTAAGTGCTTTATGTGTGCTGTTCTTCTAATCCTCATAACTATCCTGTAAGGCAGGTAATACAGTAAAATCATATTAATTAAGAAGAATTAGAGAGTGTAAAGAATGAATTATAGAATACTAAAGACATTTTATTTTCTACATACTATTAGAATTTAAATCTAGGTTTCCAGTTAAATATGATACACTGACCACATACATTTATTTTCTCTACTTCCAAAACCCCAAGACACTAAAGGAGTATAAATGGTGACAATCAAAAAAGAAAGAGAGAGAACAGACTACATCAGAGTTTGTACAAATAAAAACCAGGAGGAGGTATAATAACTAACCTAGCAGAGTAGAGGAAATTAAAGCCTAAATACCCAAAATACATCCTACCAAACCCCTAACAAGTTCAGGACTGAGAAGTGCCAGGTATTATAGAAAAGGCAAGTGAGGTACAGGGCTGAAATTCATGCTTGAAGTCTAGATAAAGAGCAGCTGGATCCCACCCTCCACAGGCAGAAAGCCCACCCAGCCCCAACCTCCAAACAGGAGAAACAACCTGAGGGTCACCAACCATAAAGGAAGATAAGGAAGGCCACAGGGAGGCTGAAAATAGATTAAGTAAAAGTCACCATACATACTATGGGGTCCTCAGCCCTCTTCTCCTACCCTGCTGCCAGAACTCAGGCGTCCTTTCTAAAGAAACTAAATGTCGCCAAAGAAAAGACTTCCACTGGATATTAGGAGGACTCCAACAAAAAGACTAATTCTGCCTGATGGTGCTTCAAATACAGTTATTTGAACCCAGCCCACACATAAAGACCTATGAAATTAGCTTTTCAGTACCTGATCCTAAATAGAATGGGTGACCCCTCCAGTTTTCTATGGAAGCCTTCAAAATGAAAGACATAAACCACAACAAATAAACAAAAAACAGGAACATGGAAGAAAAACAAACAATGCAACAAACAACAAAGAGAAAAAACACACAACTATAATTATCCTCAGGGACAATGAGAAGACATTGCATCTATAAAATAATAGGAGATTATGAAATAGAACAGAGAAAAAAGATATCTTAGAAATTAAGACCTATAGTTAAAAAAAAAATGAACAAAAGAGCCAGAGGATAACAACAACAAAAAATACAACTTCAGGAGCAACTGGAGAGGAAAGACTTTTAAAATTAGAGAATCTGAGACATCCAACATTCAAATAACAGGAATTCTAGAAATACAGGATGCAGAAAATGAAGGACAGAAAGTTATCAAAAATACAAAAAATTTCCAAGAAATGAAGTCTACAAATTGACAGACTCCACCAAGTCAAGTACCCAACAACATGAATGGACGAATGAACGAATGAACGAACGAATGAATGAACAAATAAAGACCCACACATCATCATGAAACGTCAGGGCTAAAAAGAAACTCCTGAAAACTTCCAGAGTGTAAAAATAGGCCCCATGTAAAAGAATGGTTTCAGAATTTTCACAGGAATAATGAATGCTATAAAAGATTTTGGTGGTGGATACACTTTGGCAAAAAGGGGGGGGGCAGTAAATCAAGAAACAGGAAGTCATGGGATCCAATAAACAGATCCAACAGACTAAAAAAGAAAGGGGGTCCCAGAATGACCATCGAAGAACAATGGTCCAGATGGCAGAAGATGAAGGACTGTGAAAGAAATGTCCCCAACAGACACACACACACAAAAAAAAGAAAAAATGATAGATTATCTGATGTTTTTGAACATTTAAGCATTTAAGTCTGGGTAACCATTGTGATAGGTACATAAAAAAACTAAGCAAATTTTAAAGTCAGAAAAATATTAACTCTGAGAAAAATAAGATTCCAGTAGAAAGGAAATAATGATAGTTCACCATAGGGTTGATCAGTGAACATTTATTGTCTACCAATGTAACAAACTGTGATTAATCTATATTGAGAGGGATGGGGGAGGCAGAGATATAAGAAAGGTAAATCCTTCCTACCATAAAAGGAATTTAAGAATCATTTCTGAAATTAATAAATCAATTAAAAGTAAGATTACCACTTTCCAATAGGAAGGTAAATACAGTACACACCAGTAAAAGCTGAAGGTGCTTATCTCTGGGATGCTAAGCTGCGGGAAAGGAAGCTACTCCTTTTCATTATAAGCCTTCTAGTTCTATTTGATTTTTTTAACCATATGCATGAATTACTTTAGGAAAAAAGAAAGCTAAATTTAAAAGAAGGAAAGAATTTAAATTTACAAATTCAGTATGAATTCAAAGAAAGGGATTGGAAAAACATGAAAAGGAGCCCTATCTTCCAGTTACATACAGCTTACTTACCCACAGGGCTATTAAAAGAGAGACCTCCTCAAAGGAACTCCTGCAGCCTAACCAGGCTTTCTTTCAGGCCAGGACACTGCCTCTGCATCAAGTGGCAAGAGCGAGGCTCAGAGGGCAGACCCAGAGGCACTTTGTGTAATAAAAGAAGAAAAGACTTGGTAGAATCCAAAGTAATATAATAATATATATGGAATTAGTATAAACAGTAGTGTAACAATAACATATTACAAGGATACATTTCCTGAGATCTTGCGATGATTGCCAAACACATAGTCAAAAACTACAATTCAGGGCCAAAGTTTCTATGGTAGCTGTGGAAATGAAGATACTTTATCTCTTGCCTCAAAATTTAAGTTTAAGCAATAGCACCCATTTCTGAACTTGTCCTGATTGAAGATAACACAATAGTTCAATGTAATATAACAATGTTCAAATTTGGTCCCTTTACAAAGTAATTCTCATGAAAGTTGCTTTAATCACAGAGGTCTGCGATTCTCACACAACAGAAACCAGGTACCTGAAAAGCAAAGCAAGTACTGGCTTTGCTTAGATCACTGATATACCCAGTCTCCAAATTTCTCAGTAATCCCATGGCCTAGACAAAGCAATACAGGAATAACCAATAGTTATACACTGTTTTTTAAAAATCCTGACAAGGTAAAATCCTTACAGAATTTATTTGCTTCATCTTTGTCTTAAAATTCAGAAAAGCTGAGCACACTTGGAAAAACACAGGGCTCCTAAAAATGCAAGGTTCCCTGAAGCATTATAGGCTGCTTCATGCTACCCATTCACTGATCAAAACCTAGATGGAACGCAAGATATATTTACATCCCCTCAAAAAGTGGTATCACAAATACATTGGCTCCTAAGAGAAAAAAAGTGGCTCCAAGTCACAATAAAAGCCATACCTAGGAAGAGAGCAAACCTGTTCAAAGCACCTGATTCAAGAAGAAAAAAATAATATGTACTAAAAATGACATTATTTTATTTTTTAAAAATTTACAAAAAACTGTTCAGGAACTCAGCTTTTTGGATAAAGCAATAGAAAGTAGATTTATTTTCTAGGAGTTCAAAACCTTGTTATAGTATTTGCATTATAAACCTATCGGTTCAAAAGAAACTACCAGGCAAACTCCCTATTAGTAGCACCCTGAACTTCATGGTCTTATCATTATGCAACTTCTTAGTGAAAAATAATAATAATAATAATAGAAACAAAAAATCTGGTTATCCATTCAACATGAAAACTTACTACGTTATCAAACTTTTTTCTCAAATTAGACATATGAAGTACAACATTTGAGCAGAAAAAGATTCCACTTAATACAGTCTAATGACCTGAGTGCTATTTAAAATAACAAATACTTTAAGTAGCATACAGTTTATCTAAATGTGTATTAATGATTATGGATAGCATATGTCCGTTTTAAATTTGAGGGAGAAAGCCTATAATTACAGATTTATTTTAATAAATAACAAATATTGACTCCTAAAAAAAATTCTCACATAAACTTACAAGAGAATTTTAAAGTGAAATAGGTCACACTATTATTCTAAGCTCATAGGCAACAAGACTAAAAATATGCCTCATTTGTGTTTTCACTATGAGGTCTGAATATATAAACAAAATCAAAGAAATAATGTGTACTATTAAAACTTGATAAAAATTAGACAGAATATCAACAAATGTAAAAAAATACAATGTATTATGTGATGAGTTTGAATGCAAAAATCACATATTTATTAAACACATGATTAACTTAAAAACACCAAACCAGTTTGTTTTAAAGTGCTCCTCGTCCAAGACCTTGGACAAAACCATCACTCCAAAGTGAATTTAAAAAAACAGTTTACAAGGCAAACACTGACAATAGGTATGGACAGGAACTACCAAAAAATGCTATTTGTTCTTTAATTAAATAATGCCATTCTCAAGTGATGTAGAGCAGTCGCCTTAACAGAATTCCTTTTTTGTATAAATATTCATAAATTAAAAAATGTCTAGATATTCTAAAGAGCTACAAACATTAACACCTTAAAACAGCAGCTTAATGTCTATTTTAGGAAAAACGCACTAAAATCCTCTTCCATTGAAAGTTGTTTATTTCTCTGGTGGAAATGAGAAGGTCACTACAGCATTAACCTCTTTTCCAGAACAGTGTAAATGACAATGTATACACATCTTAAATTTGGTAGGTCATTTCTGATGCAACAGAAAAATAAATAAATAAAAATTAAATACTTTAACCCAACATTTGGTATTGACAAATCAGTAGTGTCAACTTCACATACGAAGGACAGCACAGTCTGGTTTGTAAAAAAATCCTCAATGTCATGGTATTTGGGTTAAAAATATTTAGAATATTAAATGTTTCCTTTTTGCTTAAAGGAATACAGTACAATCACCATCAAGCTGCTATGGTAACTCATCTTCAGCTGGGGTAAAGTGACCATTTGGTCCATGGCACAAGTTACATATGTCACACTTCTGTCAAACTGAAACCTTATGTTTATAAGATTTCATGTTTATAAGCTACAATACACTGACTTGGCTGTCAGTCCCTCACAGTTTTTTAGAAAAATATCTACATTTATCCTTATGGATGTCAAAATGTTACACCATCATTTGTTTAAAAAGAAAAGAAGATGCACATTCATACTGTGAAGTTATTAGGAAAATACTCTTGCAAATAAACTATATAAAGATAAAATACACTTCAAAGGTATGTGGGTTTTTTGTTTGTTTTACAATATTCTATAAAGTGCAGAGAAATCCTAAGGGAAAAACTACTCCCTATAACATAGTTTAATTACAGCAGCTTTTGCATAGCAATACTTAGAGGAAGTCGGACACTTCTGTTTCCTCAGGAAGAGAAGGGTGAAAGAGGATCTTCCAATTCAGATTTTTTTTTGGCCATAAGTCTGCTTTCTTCAGGAATGGTGGCTGATGCCAAATCTCCATTAAGTGTATTTCTTAAACAGTGAACAGGCCCTATATAAAGAAATTGATTAAAAGGTTAAACATCCTATTAACTCCAATCCTCTGTGAGGAATGTTTTAAGTTTTCTATTCAGAGATATGAATTCCTTTAGCTTCCTGCTAATTTTTTTGACTGATTGTTTAATAAAGAAAAATATCACTTTTCTACTATTAGCAGTCATGAGGAGAAACTTCAGAGTGCATAAGGTAAATAATGAAACTACCTGAAGTAGAGATACTTACTCTGTTCATTGCTAGAACCATGGTTGGCACATAATGGGGAGTCAATAAATATTTAATGAATTGAATTAATCTTTCTTAATTAACTATGGCTTTTTCAGTCTGATAGTTTTAATACTGTTAGTAACCTCCTCACACTTTCTCCCTTCCCCTTATCAATCTCACCCTTTTCCTTTCTTCATTTCTTTACCCATTGTCTCAACTTAAATTCAAAATGGTAATGAGCATAGATTAGTGCTCTATATCAATAAGTAGACTATTAGTTCTATAATAAAAATGGGCATAAAAAAGATACCATCAACTTCTAAAGATGTGAAAATGGCCAGCAGTCCCTTTTAGAATCTCCACCATCTTCCTGAATTCCACATTCTGCTCTAAATAAACCTGTCTAACCTGGTTAGTAAACCAACTCTATCTTAATGTTTTCAACATATTTGAATACTAGAAATCCAACACCATTTGTTTTGTCCCATTTTAGTCAGACTGTGAATTAGCTGGGCTCTTCTAGGCAATCTAAAGAATCGAAACTCCATTTGTCATGTCATTTCCGTAAGGGAAATGAAATCTGTGTTCCACACAACTGACTTGGTAATAAGTAAACTCTTGGAACACAAGCTGTTACATAATTGGGAACTGTATGTAATTTCTATCCCACATGCTTCCATAGCCAATAGTAAAGACTTTGAAAAGTAGAAGCCTATTAATGGTAATAGTAAGACCACATTTCAGTGGAAATCATATTCACTGCTGTCTAAATATTCTGATACACTTTTAAAGCTTTCCTCTGAAGGGAAAAATAATTAAAATTTAACATAAATCACAAAACCTTTCCTAAAGTATTCAATCACAGTATGCTGCTTCTTTAAATAGTAAGGGATAAAAAGGTACAGGAATAAATGCTACTATAATTCACCACCAACCAGAAAAAAATTATTTTCCTTGGCCATTTCAAATTATTTAAGTAACAATGTTGATTCTTTTTCTTTGGACTTGTCTGGTTTTTTTCCTCGTATTTTTTACTTAGAACTTTGAACTTTCCCTAAATCCTACCCACAATCTATTCTTTTTCTTCTAAAATGTTTTTTAAATGCACCCCAGCCAGGCGTGGCTCAGTGGTTGAGCGTCAACCCAGGATCCAGGCAATCAGGGTTCGATTCCCGGTCAGGGCACATGCCCTGCTTGTGTGCGCGATCCCCAGTCAGGGACGTGCAGGAGGCAGCCAATCAATGACTCTCTCATCATTGATGTTTCTAGCTCTCTCTCTCCTTCTCCTTTCCTCTCTCAATAAAGATATATTTTTTAAAAATCAATAAAGATTTTTTTTTTTAATTTTTTAAAAATAAATAAATAAATGCAAATGTAGTGGAGTAGAAAATTACTAAGTGATTACTAAGGTGTAGTGGGAGTAAAAGATCTTGGTACTGTATCAGTCTAAGATAAGGTATTTACAAAGAGATACTCAGCACTTCTTAGTTAATAACAAAGGTGTTGTAAGAAGATATATGAGCTTCTGTTGATTATGTACAGTTTGCTTAGCTCTGAATTAAGGAATTAATCCAAGGGCCCAGGTACAGTGTTCACTTATCAGTATTCTCCATTTCAACAATTACAAAGCCCCACAACAATTTTGCTGAATAGACCAAAGAAAGAGACAGACTCTATCTAACTTACTATCTGGGTCTTCAAGAGGAATATCATTACAAGTGTCTGTATCTGAGTAGGTTCTTCGGCGTCGCTGGGAGAGCCGATGAAGTGCAGACACCGGTTCTTTTATAGAGTGGCTACTCCTGCAAATTAAATAAAAAGCATTAAACTGTAAGGCCTTAAACACAGGAAAACACCCTCAACTTACCTGGAGTTTTAAATGACTTCTCTTTAAATGAAAGAAGAACTATTTTTATGCCCAACGTTCTACTTTAATAAATTATACTTTTTCAAAGACCAGGCCACAAGTCAGTCAAATAGTTTAGAATCTAGCTGGTACCTGGAGAATGACCTCTGAGCCAAACTAAATGGAAAAGGGGTATAGTGAAAGTGATATTTTTATAGAGGAAGATCCAGCTAGACAATAGACATATCAGATGGTTAATAAATGTTCGAAAAGTTAGAGTTGTGGATTTCACAAATGCACAGATCTAGTGTTAATCCATATCTGATTAAAAACAGCAGTGAAGGCGGATGGGCAGGTAGTTGGGGAGCATGCGAGAAGCTCAACTCACTGACAGCAGCAAGACGAAGATGGTAAATGGAGGCTAGCTCAATCAAAGATTACATAATCATCAGAGGGAGAAAAAACGGTGACAAAACAATAGTAAGGGCTCAGTTGGCACTTATTCTTAATGTAGAAAAATAAATGCTAATGTCACTATAATTTCATCACTTACCAATGAACCAAATAAGACAACCATAGCAATTTAAAAGAATATCACCTACCAAGATAAAGAATACTCTTATAGTCTGGGATCTTGGCCAATTCAAACTTTCTAGATAGAAGGTAAATTTTTTAAACGTGTTGATATGAATATACACTTTTTTGTTGTTGTTGTTAATCCTCACCTGAGGTTATTTCTTCCACTGATTTTTAAAGAGAGTGGAAAGGAAGGAGGGAGGGGAGGGAGAGAGAAACATCGATGTGAGAGAGAGACATCGATTGGTTGCCTCCACACATGCCCATCTGGGACCAGGGATGAATCTGCAACCCAGGTATATACCCTTGACCAGGAATCGAACCATGATCCTTCGGTGCTCGGGCTGACACTCTAACCACTGAGCCACACAGGCCAGGGCAATATGAATATATACTTTAAAATAGCAACTGGTTTTTCTCTCTTTTCAGTCAGATCTTTAGCTCCTAATAAAACAACAGCTCCGAATGAATATATGATGCAATAAAAAGCAATAGCAAAATGAGCCTAAGCTTTGGAGCCTTGATATATCAAAAACTGATTTCTACAAACCATCATTTGATATAATTTCAAGTATCTAAAAAAGGTACAATAGTCGGAAAGGTGCTTACCTTGCTGGTCAATTTATTCCCCCATTTTTTTCTTTACTGACTACATACTGGGACCAGGCCCTATACTAAGAGCTAAGTGATAAAAATGCTGAGCAAATCAGAACCAGACTCTGCCCATACAGAATTTACATTCCACACTACTTTATGTTAAAGGTTCGAAGAACTTCCCTAAGTAGGTATAATTCTGAGAGAACTTAATCACAAGAAAAGGTTATTTTACCTCTCTGAACCAGGGTGGCTGACAGAACGCTTCATCTAAAAAAAAAAATGAGCATAATCCATTAGTCAAGTAGAATAAAGCAGCTCTAATATATTATCATCCTTATTCAGATAAAAAGATGGCTGGCCAAAAAAATTATTTTTTACATACTCAAGTAACATTATTAGCACACTGTTAAGCTTTCTCCTTAATAGCCATTAATGGGAATGTTTTTCAATGCATACCAAAAACATGCTGGGTTCTTTTCTCGATACGAAAAAACATATTTTATTTTTTTATATCATGTGTGTTCATGTATGTATATAAATACAAAAAACAGTATACTTAACTAGTCCCACCCCAAAATCACAATATTTTGATAAAAAGGTATATCTAGTATGCCAGAAAATATTCTAATAAACCTATTTTTAAAGGGCAGGAATAGAGTCTAAGAGCAAAGCTTCTCTTTACCATTCATTATTCAGGTAGCTGTTACATAGATGTTCTAACGTGTGGTTTTCATGGAAGATGGCATTAATAATTCAAGTCTTTAAAGAACTTAGAACAACCCTGTGCCTCAAATAGGTTTCTAAAACATATATTTAAAATATAAATAAATCATATTTGATGAAGCAGAACTCTAATAAATATGACAAATACTAAACATAATTTAGAAGATCCAACTAATCCACCAAAAAAATAGAAAGAGATAGCCAAGTAAAACATATCATTTCAATGTTTAACAAGGTAGCAAAATAACGAAGTTTATATTAAAGGCTAAGGATGGTTGCTTTTATATACAGGGTTCAAGAGTCTTACAGGTCCAATCCAAGTCTAACATTTGTGTTATGTAAATAAACACCTTCTACATTTGTAACATAAGCCACCAGTTGCTCTGAGAAACCCCAGGTGAAATGACAACAGTTATTACCCATCCAATTTGCAGTGTATCTAACATGATTGACATTAAAATACAACTGTACATTAATCTCCTTTTACAGAAATCACTTCCTTTAAGCTTACTCACCCAACTACAATTATCACTTAATCTGTGGATCAAAATGACCACTGTTTGAATTTCCATGATGATTTGAAGTATAAACGAATGCAAGTTAATTTTAAGAGGGACACAATGAAAATAACTACATAAAATGGTTACAACTCTCAGGTTAATTTTAGAATTCTCAAATGTTTCAGCTTTATTTTCATTTACCCATGTTATTTAAAAAAAAAAAAGGATTTCCTGTGAAGACTGTCTGATCTTACTTTCTATGCTATGTGTCTCCAGAACTAATTACCATAAGCTACAATTTGTGCTTTATGTATGCAAGACAATGGCATAGCAGGAAAAATAACCAGCCTCTATCTAGATTTCCTGTAATGTTTCTATTGATAAAAGGTTTTGGTTTAAAAGAGACAGTTATTAGAGTTTCTTATGCATAAGTACATATATGACCTCTCTGGCACACTGAGGTAAATGACAGAGCCCCTCTGAGGAAGGGGATCATGACCTTGGCACATGCTAAGCCCACCAGATGAGAGGCTCCAAGAGAGAATACGAGTACAATTTTTAAAAAAATCAACCTGTTGACTATTTCCCTCCCACTGCCAGACTCCACCCTTAAAAATAAAAACAAAAACAGAACTACATGCAATATTACTAGAAGAAAAACAGTAAGTTCCAACCATTTGAACAGGAGAAGGTGACACAGGAGAAACTAAGGGATCCGGATGGGACAGCTGAAACATCTCAGGTTTAAACTTGGCATTTGCTATCTTCACACATTCCTCAAGCGTTGTGATGAACGTATTACATGTGGCACTAAGTAGGGAAGAGGCTTCATTCATGTTCTGAAAAATTACACACAGAGAGGAACAGATTCATACACAACTATGTAGAATCATGCACTACCTTGTACTCAAGTCATTACTAAGACACCTGACTAGGTCATGTTCAACTCTATTTAAAATATACTATGTTAGAAAATTAAAGCAACACGTGAATAATAATTGTCTGCCTCTCAGGTAAATAATGTATGAAATTAGATTCCAAGAAAAAATAAGTTCTTCATATTAAAAAACTATGTACAGAATATTTTTCTTAGGTAAACCTAACCTAAACGGTAATTTTATAACTACCCAAATTCCAAAGGTGATCACAACAGTGGAACAGAACACCTAGAGGGTTATTTAATGTCAGGCACAATTCATGTCTACCCCAGGCCCATTCTCCCATTTCTTCCTTGGTAAAATAAAAACTCCCATTTTTTTAGGACAGCAAAGTACCCTGACCTTGGGGGATGAATAGAGACTGGTTTAAGCTAGTCGTGGCTATTACAGGACCCTCTGTCAAATACTCATTTTTCCTAGTTTCCATTGACCCAGACAAAAAAGATGAGAAGTCTGCTGGGAAGCTTCTGGGATTTCTGTTCCCTGGGAGAAGCAAAGGACAGCAAATTGAGAAGGTCTCTCTCTACCTTGCTACCTGACTATCTCCTTCCTCTGTGCTTTGGGTATGAAGAGAAAAAGCCAACACAAGAAGAATGGCAGAGTAGAAAGATGGAACAAGCCCGGGTCCCTGATACTGTCCCTGAGCTGCTGGAGCAAATGAGAGGGCACCTACCTCCAGAAAGCTTGTGGTGACACAGTATGTGGTCACAGGGTTTAATGTACCTACAACCATATGCAAGTTACCTCACACAAGATTCCTCCCCAAGAGGGGAGAGGTAGGAAGATTTCTTATTCCACTTCTCCCAAGTTAGGCAAAAGGGGACTGGAAACCATGCTGGCCTTTCAGCCAGAGAGCAATAGGGCTCACTGCTCCTACTTTATCAGAAAGAGTAAGCCTAATTCGTTGCCACATTCTACAAATCTGAGTTTTGATTCTTACATCACTGTTCTGAGAATTTTTTAAAGCTGTATCATAAAGCTAAGTTATCAACTCGCAGTAATTATGTTACAACCTTATTACAAAAGAAAAGGAATAGGAATTGCCCAATGAATTCAAGTAGTCAGGATGCTGAACAAATCCTAGAATGCTTCTTCTCCACACCAACAACCTGATCATTGATTGGCAGCAAAGATGGGCCTTGATTTCCTGAGGAAATGTGCTGCTTCCTGCTTTACTCTCCTGCACAGATACAACACAGATGATCCCACAGATTCCCAGGTAGTCTATAGTAGGGAGAGCTCAAAATAGCTGAAAATAACTCATTTTGAAAATGCTTCCCTGTCATCTTATGGGAAGAACCTCACTCATACTTATCCGTGTGCTGCAAAGCATAATCAGACATGAAGGGATCATCTGTTATACCTCTATGCTGGGAGATGAATGATTCTCATCATGGTGAACAAATTCTTGAATTGTATGAACTTGCTGCATTAAAAGGTCACAGTAGAGACGAAGTTCAGACATTTTGGTTTTCAGAGATTCACTGGTTTCACTTATTTCTGAAAGGAACAAACATTTAATTAGATCATATTCATATTTTTGGGGCAAGACAATAAAATGGAATCATTAAAAAAGTAAGAGAGAGGCTCTCTCTATAGAGCATGCCCATGCCTTTCCCCACACTCTTTGGGAGCACACACCTCTCCTGTTTCTTTTATCCTTAAAGGCGCCTAAGCTCCAAGGGCCCTTCTACAACCTCTGTAACTTTCTAAATAAACTTTCCCTTATAATTTCAATTCCTTGGCTCTGAATTCTTTCAAGCAGAGCTCAAGTCCAGTTTAACTCATCTCTAAGGCCTGGTGCCATCTTTCCGCACTAGCCTGAGTCCAATCGCCTTTCCCAGTGTTCTGGGTAAGTTGCCCTCTAAAGCATGCCTGCACCTTCCTTCTCCAAGCGTGCATCTTTCTACCCTCTTCCACCACCACCCCTTCTTTCCCCAGGGGGCTCCCTCTCTCTTTTCTGGAGCACCCACGCCTCCCTCTTTCGTCCTTCATGGCTCCTTTCTCCCTCTTTCTCCTAAGCAGGATAAAAAATCGTAAGACAACAAATATAAATACCTATAGTGTGAGACCTTGGAAATAGAATACAAAGGCTCTAAGGAAACATGTTCTCTTCAGATAAATGGAAAAAAATTGACAGTCACATATCTAACATGAAGGTTAAGTAGATTAATTTCCAGAGACAGGGTGATGACCACTGAGTGTCTTATATAAGATATTTCTATTCCATCACTCAGCTTTCATTTAAAAAGTACTTACATTTCTTCTTCTGTGAATTGGCTTTTCTTGCCCTTAACTCATTTTCCAGTTCTTACATTTGGGTTTTCTCTTAATATATAAATTGATAATTTATAAAGTTTCTTATGCACTAAATTTAGCAATCTTTCACATGTTCTATATACTGCAAATACGCTTCAAAATCAGTCAGCTCTGTTTTCTTTATTGTATATTTTGGCATACAAAATGTTTTAGTTTTTATGTAGTTAAAACTGTTTTACATAAATATTTATTTTCTTCTGTTCCTTTCATAGCTTCATTTTCACATTATATTATTTTCAGAATTTTTAAATTAAGAGCTCATTTTCTTTTGTTTAATATCTCCAAACTAAACATCCAGCTATAATCTCAGTCACTAACTTACCAATACCTTCTAGACTAGAGGTACAAGCAGCAGGGGAAGGAGAAAAAACACAAAGAGCAGATCCTGGTGCTTGCTTCTCCATCCCTCAGCCAATGGCACTGCTTGGTGGTACTAACCGCAAAGCCACTCCAGCCAGGGTGGACCAAAGCAGCTCTAGCTGCCCATTTAACCTAACCTCCTACCCAAATTTAAGCCCATTCCTTCTTTTTAATTGTAGTGAAATATATCTCTATTTTAATCATTTTTAAAATGCTGGCATATTACATTCATGTTATCATACAACCATTACTCCCATCCATCTCCAGAACTTTTTCATCTTCTCCAACCGAAACTCTGTACACATTAAACACTCCCCATTCTCCCTTCCCCTAGCTCCTGGAAACCACCATCCTACCTTCCGTTTCTATGAATTTGACTACTCTAGGTACCTCATATTAAGTGCAATCATACAATATTTGTCTTTTTATTCACTTGGCATAGTATCTTCAAGATTCATCCATGTTGTAGCATACGTCAGAATTTCCTTCCTTTTTAAGGAGGAATGATATACCACTGTAAATATATATACCATATTATGTTTATCTACTCATCTGTCTATGGACATTTGGGTTATTTCCACCTTTTGGCTACAATGAGAATTCATTCCTTCTTTTCCTACCCTTAAGCCATACTCTTTATGATGTTCTTTTCATATATTTGAAAATTGTTACACATTCAATCCTTAGCCTTCATTTTTCAATATCTATAATTTAATTGCTTTCACTAATTTAGATAATTTCTATTGTCTTTAATTATAAAAGTAATATAAGTTCAATGAAAAATTTTGGAAAACCAAAAATATAGAAAAGAAAAATTGAACAACTACAATCTCACTACCAAGATATAAATACTATTGTTATTTTCACATTGTATCTGCATATAATTGATACCAAAAATTATTTGCTTTGCTTTTGATTTTTATTTAGTTCTTTTAAATTGACGATATATATACATGATAAAGTCAAAAGGTATAAAGTGAAAAGTGAGTATCCTTCCCACAAATTCCCTTTCCAAAGGTAACAACTTGACCAATTCTTACATATCTTTGCTGAGCTGTCCAAAGAATGGCTATATAATTCTGAATCCTGTTTTTTCAATTACCATTTAACCTTGGGCATTTCCTCACATCATTAAAATTCCTTGAAACATTTTATTGCCTGCATAATATATCAGCCTGTGTAAGCACTATGCAGTTTACTGAACCATTCCCCCAAATTCAAACCTTTGCATTGTTTACAATTTTCTTACGGTGATGAATATCTATGTACATAAGTCTTCTACATTTCTGATTATTTCTTTGGGATAGATTACTATAAGTGAACATGACAATTTATATTTGTGATTAAGAAAATATTCTTACTGCAAGGGAAGTTACCTTTTTCTTTTTTAGTCCTAGTATCAGTCAAACAGGCTTTGGAGCTCCCCAGAGCAACCAGCCACCTCTGTCTTTCAGCTGCATTCACCGCCTTCATATAGAAATGCTGCTCTCCTGGAATGATTAATTCCATTCTTGTGTTGTCTGCTGAATGGACTATGATGGTAAACAAAGGAGAAATACAATCATGGAATTAAGTTGGGGAGAATCAAATCATCACTCTTACACAGTATCAGATGTTTCAGACACCTAAAACAACAAACTATCATTTAAGATGCAGACAGTGCTGCTTCCCTAAGGGGCTACCTAGTGGCACCTTTCAAACCACCATTCTCACATCTACCCCAGCTGGTAGTGCTGCCATATGAAAGAGAGAACACCAACAAATTAACTACTGAGAAGTGTGAACTAAGAACTCCCTCCCTTGGGACCAACTGTACTACCTTAAATACACATGCATTATTATACTTATTGCAGTTTTTACTCAGTTCTTTGAAAGCAGAGTCTATGCTTTGGTATTCCCAAAGCCTAGCACAGTGCCTGGCATATAGATGAAGCACAACAAATGTAACTATGGCCACCTTCCATTAGAACAAAAGCCCTCAACTAACAGGCATTTCATACTCACCTGAAAGCATGAGTATTTTAGAGACCTTCTCTTCCTCTCCTATGCAACCCCCCTTGATGATGTGACAAAAGAGAGCTCATCAAGAATTATGCTGAGTCAATCCTAAATCTTCGTTTTAAGACTGAATATGTGCTACATTGTCATTAATCATAAATATTTACTCAGCTCAGAGCAGTGATGGTAGAAGGGAAGAGAGAACAGGAGAAAACAGAAGTCTTTGCTCTAACAAAGGTGACAAATTAACCGAGGAAACAAAATGACACACTAAAAATAATCGAAACACCTAAATGTTGAACTCTTTGGTATAGAGACTTCATGTGTAATTATAATAAGAGAAAGGTAAGAAGACACAGAAAATAAAAAAGGCTTCAAGAAGAGGGATTTGATGACAGCTGGATTGGCTTAAAACTGAAACAGAATAACTGCATGAGAAAAGTTCTAGATGGGGAACTAAATATAATATGTACTGAGAATATCACGAGACAGGCCTAAATGGAGCATTGTGTTGTATCACAAAGTAATAATATTCATGAGTGAACAAATGATCAATGATGGGTGCAAAAGATTTCTAGGATAGGATAAAATTACTGAAATCCCAAAGCTCCAAGGGTAACTCTTTTTTGCTACTTGCTAATACTAGCAAAAGCAGCAATAGCTACCTTAAAAGAAAACAATGCTCTAATTTCCAAAGATGTTTCTACAAAATGAAACTAAAATAAGATGACTCATTTTTAAACATACCAGAATTTATGTATCAGTCAAGGGTTGCACCCTCTAAAGTAGTCACCTGAGAAGGCAAAAAACTTAAGAACAATGCTTCCAGAACATCAACTTCTAGGAAAAACGGACAAGACTTCTCTCTATATAAAACTGCAAAACATTACTGAGAGAAATCAAAGCCCTAATTAAATAAAGGAAAATACCACACTAATGGAACAGAAGACTCAATACTATCAAGAATGCAATCCTCCCCAAATTGATGAATAGATTCAATGCAATTCCAATCAAAATTCCAACAAATATTTGTGGAAATTTACAAGCAGATTCTAAAGTGTGTAAGGAAATGCAAAGGGCCAATAATAGACAAGACAATCCTAAAAGAGAACTAAATTAGAAGACTTACACTATCCGATACTAAGAAGTATAAAGCTAAACAAGTTAAGATAGTGTGACATTGGTACAAGGATAGAAAAACAGGCCCATGGAACAAAAAGCAGTCTAGAAAAAGACCCACACATACATGGTCACTCGTTTTGTGTCAAAGATGCCCCTACAGTGTAGCGGGTGAAAGGCTGCTCTCTTCAATAAGTGGCGCTCAGTCAACTGGATAGCCACATGGGGGCAAAAAAATGAGTCCTGATCCCTACCTAAGACCATATATAAAAATAAATTTTAAGCCAATCACAGACCTAATATAAACCTAAATATAAAAGGTAAAACAATAAACTTTCAAGAAGGTATCAGAGGATTTCTTTAGTGGGCCATAAAATTTTCTGATAACAAAATTGATAACCTGGATTTTATTGAAATTAAGAACTTGTGTTCATCAAAAGATATTAACAGAATGAAAATGCAAACTACAGAGTGGGAAAATACATTTGCAATACAAAAAATCATTCAGACTATATAAAAAACTCTACAAATCCATAGGAAAGATAGCCCAATTTAGAAACTGGGCCAAAGAATTGAAAAGGGACTTCAAAAGAGGGTGTTCAAATGGTTAATTATATCTGAAAAAATACTCAACATCATTATTTATTGAAGAAATGCAAGTTGAAACCACCATGAGATAACTAGAAAGAAATATTCACAGTCTTAGCTAATACCAAGTTTTGGCAAGGATGCAAAGCAAAAGGAACTCTCATACTCTGCTAGTTGAAAAATAAATTGGTACAACCACTTTAGTAAACAGTTTGGCATTATTTATGACAAAGATTCTCTCTCTGGTCAAACTTAAGTCAGGCTCCTCTGAGCCCTCTGCTTGAATAGGACTTGGCCTTCCCCCTCTCTCTTTGTAGAGTCCTATTTTAGCCAGAATCCTGCCAAGTCAGTTTAGCCAAAATCCACCACCATCAGTCTCTGATCATCCTGGATATCTGACCAAATTCCTCTTCTCTACTGATCACCCTGGCCTACCATTAACAAGAATCCTATTAGGTCAGTTTGACCAGAATCCTTCCGTATCCCTGAAGCTTTTTCTTAGTAATTTTCCATCCACCTATCCCCCCACTTTGATCCTTGGCTATAAATTCCACTTTTCCTTGTATTCACAGTTGAGCCCACTCTCTCCCCCCCTACTGCAAAACCCCACTGTTGTAGTTCCTATACCTATTACAACAGACCTGAACAAAGTCTGTCTTACTTTTTTAACAAGTATCAAGAATATTTTTTAATATCTGTTAAAGCTGATTCAGCAATTTCACTCTAGTTCTAGATATATAGTGAACAAAAATGCATATATATGTTCAACAAAAGAAATATATTAGAATTTTTGTAGCAGTTTTATTTATTATGGTCCCAAAATGGGGGCAGGGGAAACATCTATCAATATTAGAATGGATAGCCAAATTATGGGATGTTCACACAATGGAAATACCTCAATAAAAATGGCTGAACCTCTGTTACACAAAAGAACATGGATGAATTTCACAAACATAATGTTGAGTGAAAGAAGCCAGACACAGAAGAAAATACTGACTTATTTCATTAACAAATGTTCTAAAGCAGGTAATACTTATTTATGGTGATAAAGTCAGATTAATGGTTACCTTTTAGAGGAATTAGTGGCTGAGGGAACATGATAATATCCCAGCATCTGGGATGCTGATAATATTCTAATTCTTGATCTGGGTGGTGGTTACACAAGTGTGTTCACTTTGTAAACATTCTTCAAACTGAGTGTTTAAGATTTGTGCCCTTTTCTATGAGTGTATTATCTTTAATAAAATGGTTAAACAGAAAACAATAGCAACAAAAATGCTGCCATGACTTAAAAACATTTGGAACTGCCTTATAATTCTGCCACTAACAGTCTTCTAAAATCCTCAAGGTTGGCAAGGTTTTGAACTCTGAATATAGTTTGATTTCTGATTCTCATCAAATCTCATTTTGAATGAAATCTAGGGAATAAGATGAGATAAAACCATCACTCTTTAAAAGGATAAAAAGATTATGCTTTGAATGTGCTTTTCTTACGTGATTTGTAAAAATAAAATAACAAAACTAATCCCATATATTTCAGGGAACATGCAAGTAACAATATAGCAGGCTGAAGAGTTTCTATACCTTTATAGCCACAACTCCCTGAAGGGACTTAACATTCACTGTTCTAGAGCTCTAGTTTTTCCTTCAATTCTCTTTAAAGAATTCCCTACTTTTCACTATCATTTTGTCTGATCTCTCCTACCTACCTACCTTCCTCCATCCTACACACCCCAGCCACACATATAAATGAATCAATGGTCCATGAAACCTTCCCTTATGAAAATTACAGCATGACTTATTGCTTTATTTCTCTCATTTTGGAAGAACCCAGTATGGAAAGGGAGGCGGGAAGGTAACTTTACAGTAGAGAAACCTGAGAGACAGTGCCTCAGCCTGGTGGTCAAGGTTAACATTAAGAGTGACATGTCGCCCGGCCAGGCGTGGCTCAGTGGTTGAGCATCGATCTAGGATCTAGGCGATCGGGGTTCAATTCCTGGTCAGGGCACATGCCCCAGTTGTGGGCTCGATCCCCAGTCGGGGGTGTGCAGGAGGCAGCTGATCAATGACTCTCTCATCATTGATGTGTGTGTGTCTCTCTCTCTCCCTCTCCTTTCCTCTCTCTGAAATCAATAAAGATATATTTAAAAAAAAAAGAAAAAAGAGTGACATGTCATGTTGATAGTATGCACTCTTGATATGATGAGAATGGCACTGTACCTCTGTGGTTTTCCTCCCTAAACCCATAACCCCAGTCTAATGATAGGAAAAACATAAGACAAATTCCAATAGAGAGTGGAATTTTCCACTCTCTGATTCAGCCAAGAACCAGTTTATGACTCTAACTTCATACTTTATCAAAAACCTACAGTTTCGTTAGAGTTCAGCTTCCAATCTTTACAATACCTCTCTACAGGAACGAAAAGAACACTTGTGGCCTCAGCATGGACACTTAAGTGGCATCCACAAGAAACTGTTTTTCAAGTCCATATTGGAAGATATGCAGTAGTACTTTTAAATTCAATTCAAAGTATGTTTCTAGAGAGAGAAATATCAAAAACTGTGCTAAACAATGCTAAGTGCCACTCCTGAATGCTAAGGAAATAAAAGGTGTTAGAAGATCCCTACTTGGTTAGAAATGCTTCTTTGCCACTTTTGGAATATGCTGCGAACTGTGTACTTACCTTTACCTAACTTCAAATTCCCCTAATTCCATATATTCACTTACCTTTAATTTCACAAACTGCCATCTTTATACTTCCTTTGCACCCTTTGCAAACATCATCTTGGGAATCATAGTAGGACAGGATTCCATTATCTAAAACAAACCAACGAGGCTGCCAACCTACAAAATTATAAGTAACAAAAAATTAATAAGAAACTACTTTCATCACATGGAAAACTATGATTTCAAAGCTTACCATCCATGTCATTTATTGGCTCTAAAACATTCTGATAATGAATTTTTTAATTGACAAGCCTTGCCCAAAATGTTCTGGCATCAATCTCCACTTTGTTGGGGGAGGTTTCTGAGGAAATCTCCAGATCAGCATAAGTATAAGGAGTAATACCTTTATTCTGTCTCACAACCTTCTCATTAACAACCCCTAAGACCCATCCTCAAATACAGCCCTACACAGGGTGCAATACAACTGCCCCCTTCTTCCAAAAGGGAATAGAGCTGGGTTATGATATAATGGAAAAAACAACAGAAGACGTGGATTCTAGCCCTAGCTCTACTACTATTCTTTAGGTGGATAACCTGGGACAAAAATCTTTTCTTTTCAATAAACATCAAAAATGCCCAGGCTCAAGAGTGGATTGAATAAGAAGACCGCTCAGGTGCTACCTAGTTCTCTAATTCTACAATGTGACCTTCCTGTCTCTTGTAAAATACATTTCCTAAGCAAGCTCCCTTGCACAGTTAGTATTGCTGGATTAATTCCAGTCTCTAACACAGAAGAGGCACACCCTGTGGTGAGAGTTCGGGTTCCCTGCCACCCCTCTCTCCACAGCTCTGGAAGAAATGCTAGAAACTGCATCATTCATTTAATTAGTATTTATTTATTCAGTGACTAGAGCACACAACTATCACTAACGCAAAGCTGGGGGTGAGGATGATGGCCACTCTTGCAAGCCAAACTCAGCGTTTCCTGAAATCTTATTGAGCATGCTAATTTACAACAGTTCACTGATTAACAACATGGTGACCATGATGCTGGAGGCAGTGTGACTGTCCCTGTTCTTTCTGTGACTATTAAATCACAATTTGGCCTGCTCATTTTGGACATAGCCTGCTATATAATTACTCAATTCCATTTTTCCAGGGCCAAATAATACCAAGACAGTGACAAATGAATGAAATCATTCTTACATCCTGATAGAGACCCAGGATTCACCTACCCAAAAGCCTTTACGTGTAACACTTTTGAAATGACAATGCTGCGTCATCATAAAGAGGTTAAATTTCACAGCAGGGAATGTCATAATACAGTTCAGAGAGATGGATATCCAAAAAAAGTTTTAGATGTTTGGAAAATTCTTTTTATGAAACACTACAGTCCCTAATGAGGCCTATCAAGTCAGAAGGTAAGTTCTTCTGGTACATCAACTTTATCTCATCCATCACTGCATTCCCAGCACCTACCCAGAATGGTGCCTCGCACATACAGGTCCTAAAAAAATGTATTTCTCAAGTGACTGATTGAATGAATGATTAAATACCAGAAAAGTGAGATACTACATGTTATCCATGAGAGTACAGATATGCAGTATATCCATGAGAGTATGTTGTATTGAGCGTGCATAGAAATGATGAAAAAGTTATCTTTCCAAACATTAATTCACCTTGGTAAACAAATTATAAGCAAAGTGTGTGAAAATACACTTCTCCACCCCAGGCCCATTGTGATTCTGTAAGCTTGCAATATTGTGAGTCAATGTCTTTAAAACAAATATTGAGAAAAATGATTCACTTAGAATGTGTAGCAACTTGAAAGGTGACCATGGTTAATTAATCTAAGATTGCTCATATCCCATCACACCTTTTTGAAGAAATACTTAATAAAACAATCTAACTGATTCACACATTTATAAAACAGAGGGATAATTTGTGAAAAAGATTCATAGGTATTTCCTCTTTTAAATTCTTTTTTAAAAAAACATCCTTTTTATCTCAAACTACCAAATGTTACTCAATTCAAGGCCAGGATGATCAACTAGTTTATCCTGAAGGTGCCTTCCAGACCAGAATTCTGTGATCTCACCAAATGAGAGGAAGGGGAATGGGTTTTAAATAAGATTAAATGGCACACAGATTTCTTGGTCCAGTATATTAGGCAAATCTTGACTTGCTGCCCACTTATTCACTCTGGCCTTGAATTGAGCTCTTGAGAGAATAAGGAACTTGTCCCTACTGTTGGTTGATGGCAGGGATGGGACTAGATCAGGTTTAAGACTCTTAATAAGTCAGGTTGTTGGTGTCATGGAAAAGGGCCCTCCGTGTGGTCTCCCTCCTACAGAAACACCTGCCCCTCTGGAGCTCTTCCTTCCCACCCACTTCCTGGGTGAAACTCACTGGCCTGCTCCACTTCCGTATATTTCACTTTCTTCCACTATTTCTCACACTTAACCTGAAATCCAAAACGTAAGGCTACCTCACCGACAACCAAGCCCTAAGAGAATATTATCTAGGGACAGCTTCCAAAAGGATGCTTGCTACGCTGCAATTTCAACAAGAGAACTGTTGAAATGAGCCGTGTTGCTCAGGGAATTCAAAGAAATATAGGAAAGATTACTTAAAATTAAGCCTTGGTCTTAAAGGGCCCAGTCCAGTCTTACAGCCTGACGACTCAATTAACAAAGTGCTGAATTAAGCGTGAGCGGGGACAGAGCGCGGCAGCACTTCGAGCGCCCGCGAGCGCCGGGAAGCCACCGGCGGAAACGGTACCGGGCGGCGAGGCGGGGGGTCAGCTCAGCTCGGTCGCTCCGGAAGGTGCGCCGCCGGCAACTGCCTCCGGCGGAGGCCCGGCGGGCTCCACCGAGGGGCGCAGACAGGGATCGAGCCGGGAAGCAGCAAGGGCCAGCCGGCCGAGGGTAACCGCGGGCCCGGC